AGGAGAAGCAGGGGATTGGATTCCCTTGTGTTGCCAACCCTACTCTAAAATTTGATGTATTTCACAAAAAACTTTAGGAGTAGAAATGCACCATTTTTTGTAAGAATTTCGTAAAGGCCATATACAGACAAACAGAAATAAGTTCTTTTTGTTTGGCTGTCAAATAAAACGCCGAAATTCGGGGTTAAATGGTAAAGCTTTAAGCCACGTCCTCCCCCTTTCTCCCCCCCGCCCCTAGTAGGGGGTAACGCAAGGGCCGCTTCTAGGGTAAAAGGCTACAGCAAAAAAAGTTTCTAAACTTTGTGTTTGCCTCTGCTTCCAATTTGACATTTATAAAAGATTCATTTAACGTTTTGTTTAAGCGTGTGCTCTAGTGATGAAAACCAACAAGAGGAGTTGCACACCCAACTCGTTGCTTGACGATACCATGCCGAGAAATGGAATACACAATACTTATAAATTAAACAATTTTAGGGATTCCTTTTTCTCCCTTTCTAGTGTGGTTAGCGTAGGTGATAGGACAAACCTCAGAGAGAAGTTGGTCTGAAGAACCGCCCATCCCCTCCATCCATGACTTTGCATCATGTGATGTGATACGAAAGGAAATAGCCTCGCACCAATTTTTGCTTTAGATGATCTACTTTTTTCCCAAAAGCGTGTGTTTTCAGCAATAATTTCTCCTGTGAAATGTCAGCTATCTGAGGAGGCTTTGGCCTCTCCATTCCAGCGATTGGCCATTCTGTAGCCGTGGCCTTATCAGATGTCCATAAATTTGTTATCTTTTCCCATGCCATTTTTTTGTCAATTTTTTGGGTTTTTACCTATTTTCAAATAGGAAGAAGCCACTAGGGGTTGTTTAGGGCGAAAATTAGGTTAATGGTAAACTAGTAAATGAATGCTGATTTGATAAGGCCTTTTAAGCATGTGGCAATGACTTGTGTGGAATTTTATGAAAGGGCCCATAAACAAGGCAAAAAGTACGTCATCGAAGTGAATAGCCGGAAATAAATATGTGCTGATCATCACCTAAATGACCACCCCTGATCGAAGCATCCACTAGCGTTATAAGTCCGGGAGAAGGCATGACAGCAGCGAAACCCCTTCCACCTTTTTTATTCTATTTTCTTCAATGGTAAAAATACACCTATTTCGTCCTGATTGTATGTTATAAAAATGGTAGGATTTACATAATCTGCAGTGTCATGTGTACTTAACCCGGTTGGGGAGTCCGCAACATCCCTCCCACCATCGAAACCCTTACTTACAGACAGTACATCAGAAAGGGAAATAGAGAGGAGTCGAGAATCCAAAATACTTGGCTAACAATTAGTTCTACGCGGCCTGGAGGCAGGAGACTTGATTTCAGCACCCTCCGAATCGTTTCATTTGGGATGATGTAAGAGCTAAATTGCTAGTTGAACATATCCATGCGCGCATAATTACTCTCACCAAGCCATTGCGGAGGCAAGTTGAAATGTTTTATAATGAGGAACGAAATTGCTTCGATAATTCTTCTGTAGCACGCATTTGTTCCATAAAACAGGAAATTTATTGACTGTAGTGATGGCTTAAGTGAGATAGGCTATTGCTTGTAGCATTTATGGCTAAATCCCGTGCCTCTATCACCTCCATTAATGAATAGAGACCAACGAAAAATGCGATCGTTTAAACCAGTCCTATAAGTGATTGTCTGTCTAGCGATGGATTCAAATTTTGCAAAACGGACATATGGGTTGTTTTAAGTTGGATTAGGAATCAGTGGTAATGCCAACAAAGAAATGTTAAAGCACAGTGTGAGTCATTTTATTTGTCCTTTAAATCAACTAAGGTTCAAATAGCACCCTTTAAATGGAATTGATCAGCAAAATATTGCCATGTAAAGTGCCATAGGCACCGTACAGGTGTTTGTAAAGTACGCAGCTATCCATCATACGCTTCACCAGAAAGTATTTAATCCTCTTGAGAAAATAGGCATCAGGACTTTTCTAGATTGTACGAACTCTTAAGGTCTATGATTGCCATCGAAAAACAGTAAATGATGCTATCAGAATAAAGAGGTCCACGACTTGCCATTTAACCTGGTTTCCATTTAAGAAACTTCAAGAGGACACATTTTGTGCCCACCTAACTTCTATACGCCCCTGTTTCTTTTTATTTCAGCCCAACCTTTTTCACGTGCCGATATTAGCACATTTTCAACGTTAAATTCCGGTGGCATATCTCTCTTGGTAAGATGTGCCGTGCTTTTTGGTGGTAATCCCGAGGAGTGCGACGCTCAGGATTAGCCTAAGAAGTGCATACAGATGGTCAAATTCCCGTCAACCATTATAAAGTCCAATTTCTGTCATAGTCTAGCCTTGTTAAATAGGGGTATTTTATTCACTTGATGCCCTCAGATCCGCACGAAAATTGTAACACTTAAGTACATCAAAGCAATGGAATGATACTCGCTTCTAACCAACACATAAAGTACCGAATAAAAAGTTCGAATCGGGAAGACTGAAGGAGAAATTAATAAACTAATTAGTTGCATAATAATATCCAATTCTTTTTGACTAATTTATTTTTACAAGGATTTTGCAGACATGTGTAAACTACTGTTTCGCTTTGCATGATTTTTCACCGATAGCATTTCAGCACTGTGGTGTATTTATCGCCAATTCGAGTGACTCCCAAAAAACGATGTTTACATGCATTATTTATGCACAGTTCTCTATCAAGAGCCATGAGAGTAAATGTCGGCTGCTCGTAATCCTAAGAGCTCAGGTTTTATGCAGCTTGGAGACTATTAAAGATGATAACTGATTCAGAAATACTTTGCACAAGTATGCATTTCGCGGAAACTTATATGCAATCCAGGAATTAGAAAGTAATTTAAGCAAAAAAATTGGTAAAATACAATTACTGAAAATGAACTGTAGCATCGGGACTTTGATAGCTGCTACTGAATGAATTCAATCTTTTCATCCCGTGCAGGACTTGCAAAAAGGTGACCCTGTAAACAATGCACCTTCCTTAATGGTACAGTAAAACATAAAAACACAAAAAGGGATAAGATAAATAAGTAATAAGTAGTTTAAACAAGTAGATCACACGCAAGGGGCCAGAATAGACAGTGTTATCTTGATAATAAAGCGGCCTATATGCAGGCAACTGAGTAGTAAAAGTAAGCTAGGTGCAATAAACTTGGTTATGCCAACGAATTATCCTCGACAATCCCACGTTTTATATCTCTGTAAATCACATACCTCTTAACCAGCATGGTAAATGCTGATATGAAGACGGGTAACACTAACGTTGCAGCGCTGATTTGCTGATAGCGTTTGGCAAAATATACTAGCTGGCAAGAGGGAAAATCTGGGGCTGAAATCCAGGCGTAAATAAATATGACCATTTACAAGCTCATCTGGTGTACATGCTAAGTGCAGATTTACCATAATACAAATAATTATGCTAAAAGTAAAGATAACGAGATGAGACATTTTAAAATAACCACTTTTGCACAGTGGATCAAACCAAAATCTAATTTTTAGGCTATAACCTGCCTATTAGTTGAGGAAAGATTTTTGGTTTAGAAACGATCCATTAAACACTTCGGAAAAAAATTGCCAGAATAATGGAGACGTGGAATACTTTGTTCGTCTAATTAAATCATAATTTTGGTTTCGCCAGTAATGAAGGCTCTGCATTTGTGCCTTCGCTGAGTAGCATTGCCTCCGGCCTACTATGCTAGCTTCTAGCCCTTCTGTACGTCGGTTACACACATCCTGCCCTAGTATTATTGCGATACGCTAAACGATTGGTAATGGGCCAATTATGGGCTGAACAATTGTACCTCCACCGAGTCGCCTAAGGACCAAGCCAATATCCCTTAAGCCTTTCTTTAGGTCGACAAAGCATATTTTACCCAAGCAGTTTGTCTTACTTTGTCTTCAGGAAGGTCCCACAGATCTACACTTGTGTAATACGATAGTGGTTTATCCCCCGGTTCTGGTGAGGCGCCACTTTTGTACTTTGAATTAGCCCTCATGTACCTCGCTAAGTGGGCTGGCCTTTTGGGCCATGCCAATAGCCCAGACACCTTCTCCGTGCTGAATACATATATTCTGCCCGAGTATTGTGTCTTCTTTTGTCTTCAGGGAGTCTAGCGACGCTACATTTGAACCTGCTTCGTTTTAGGGAAATACTCGAAGCGGTACAGGTAAACCGTTGAGAAACACTTATGTGCTATCAAAATTATGTAGGTTTGGTTATGATAAGTATGTGGGTAGCCGACGTCTTGCATGGTAAAGTGTTATTTATCAAATAATAAATTTAAAGGATGAAAATTCGGGTTTTCAATTATTATCCCATGACATATAATGCAGTGCCTGTTTTTATTATGTTAACAGACAAAGCGCTAATGATTAAAACTTTTTTTGCAATATTTTACAGTTAGGAGGACTTGTAAATAAGCACTCGAAAATCTAACTTTATAGCTCCCGTCATAGCTTTTTAAAATAGCATTAATTTGACATCCTGTAAAAAGCTGGTTTTCAATCAACTTAACTTAGGTTTAAGCACGGCCTTACATAAACCTTGAAAAACTTGTTTAAGCGCATCATCTACAGCACCGTTTTTGGCACCTCCTGACCAGGCGCCATTGGCCAATCGCCTGTTCGTGTACGTCTTCTAAGTGTTTGAGATGTATTTTACTATTGCGATGAGTTATTGCCTCATTTTCTATTGAAAAATAATTATTTGGTGCAAAACATTTTGAATAATCAAAGTGGGGCGTGCATGACTTGGGCAAAGTGGGTGAATGTGTGCGTATTACTATGTTTCTATTAAACTGAATTTTAGAGACCACAGGATTGATTTATGTGACTGTTTTGTGTATCCTTCTATTATTCATTTAATCGGTTTGAAATACATGGTGACATTTTGCAGTTTTTCTGTTACACTAGCACATGTCTTACAACATTTATTTTCTCTTTGGTGTACGCTTTTTTGTAGAATCGCAATGGCACAGATTTCTCTAACACACAAGGGCATTTTTGTTCTGGTCGTTGGGGGAATCACTCTTATTCTATTCCTTCTCTCTGATGGTGGCCAAACGGGCTATGAGACCAATCCCGATGTTGTTAGTCTTCGGTCAGTTTTTGTAACCTTGGTGATAGCTGTGGAAGAGGCTGGTCGTGCCATCAAGGTTTTATCTGATCTCCAACCGGCAAATCCGTTCAACTTACACAAAAAGCCCGCTCTTCTCAAGTTGAACCCTACGGGACATATTACTATGGAGGAGGTCGTAACAGAAGCCGACCTTCTCTCAAACTACTGCATTGTTAGACGCATCAAACTACTTCGACCAGATTTCACCGTAAGCTCGTGCTTTTTCCATGTGATTTTTTTAATTTCTCATATTGCTCTTGGAAATAAAACCTATTGAGATGAATAATTTAACAACTGTACTTTCAATCACTGCTTGTGGCTACACATTTAAGCCCCTACTTTAATTTTGTGGCACATTTCCTACTCAAATAATAGTGGCTACTTGGAATACAAAATATTATTTCTTTACTTTAGTTCAATTGTTGCCCACTTCTTTACTTGTGGCAGGATAATTGCAGCTTTTCTCTACTATCATTTGCTTTTCACTACTGTTTTTTTGTACTGAATTGAATTGCAAACTGTATATTGAGCCTAATTTAGCCAGAACAAATTTCCATCGTTAGTGTTAAGTATGGTTCCTTTAAAAATTTCAGGTTTATATCGTCAAAAGTTATCTTAACTTGTAAATGCTTCCATTTATGCGGTTTGTATCCACTACGTTGTTAGATGTGTCAGAGTCCTTCGACCCAGTTGCCCTGTAAGTTATCCAGCTACCTGTTCAGTTTTAACGATTCTGCTTCCATCATTGCATATTACTTTTGATTGCTACGCCTTTGGTTTACATTGTTTTACCGTTTCAGTTCATGCTTCTTTGCTTTTGACAGTCCTGAAAATTTTGCTTTATACATGCTTAATACTTTCGCTGCCGACGTCACACATATGTGACGCTCAGGTTTTCTTACCTGATCCCAGCGCCACAATTTCTCAGTGCTTGTTCTTCATTACTTCATGATACCTGGCTGCACTAAATCGGATGATACGTTCTGTAGGATTGTTACCACATAATCAGAACTATTTTTATCTTTTATTACATCGAGTTTCTTTTAAAATACCAGACAAATTGTTTTAGCAACGAAATGTCAAGACTGAGTGGGTCACTTTATGTGATAGTTTACTGGTGCAACAAACCACATTTGTCTTATTCTATTTTTGGTTGTCAGGCCATCAGTTTCCTTTTTTTTTGTGACATGAACATGATTAGGTTAGTTTGGTGGGATTTATAAATGCTTCACCTAGTTTGGTTTTGGTCGCCTTCTTTATTATTAGATATCGGTTGTAATTAATTATTGTTAATTATTATTTTTTTATTCTGTCATTATTTATCATCTACTGCTAGCGTAAATTACAGGCCTCCTACTTTGCCTCATAACTCCCTGTAGAATTGTTCCTAACGCCGCACAAGAAGTCCGTACCAGATTTTTGCAACAATTGTGGACATGCGTTAGTTTTTCCTTAAAAACTTCATCGTTGATTGAAGAGTCTAATCATTGTATCAAAAAATTTACTATGGCGGACTATAAACTGTTTGCGTCTGTTTAATTTTTCCGGTGACCTGAACTTGAAAGTGCTGTTTTAGGCTGTAACCATAGGCCAATTTCATGGAGCAGAAGTTGCCGTAGCAGTCGTCAGTGTTCCACCACATGACTGAAATGTTAATCCCCACCTAAAATTAAGTATACGAGTCATCAGCATACATGCCTAGTTTTATGTCAATCTGGAAATGCATCGTTTTGTTGCATTCTAGTCGCAGATCAATTCAGAGGAGCGCGAGATGCCGCAACAGTCTTCGATAACACTGGCAATGAAGAGCATTTTAACGGGGAGACAATCTATCATGAGGCGCAAGCACCTACTGACTATGCTGCCAGAACAGGACGTTTTCCTGCACCTGCACCAAGTCTCCCTCTGGGTTGATCCTCTAGACGCCACGCAGGAGTACAGTGGTGCGATGCAGTTCATTGGAAACAAGTCCCTCCCGCATGTGTGCCTTTTGATGTGACCTTCAGTGCCTCTTTCCTTTTCAGAAAATCTGCTCCAATTTGTTTCGGTAATGGGCTGTGGATCTATACATGGAGAGCCTGTTTTCGGTGTTGTTCACTTCCCCTTCCTTAATGCCACCTGTGAGTTTAATTTCTTTAACGTTTCTCTTCATTCTTTTTATAAGTTACAGTAGCCTTTTAAGTAAAGGACGCATTTTGATAGCCTCATCTAGTGCATATCTCCACAGCTACGACCCCTCAGTACACATTTCATTTCATATAACTTCTGTCAATCGCTCCTATGATCCCTCATAACCGTTCCGAGGCCGCGTTTTATTTGTAGTCTTTTTGGGATTAAAAACAACTGCTTTTGCCGTTTTGACGGTTCCGGTATTTATATTTGCAACTTTATCCATAAACACGATGGTTAAATCCACAAATTATTGCCTTGACACACTCACTAACACCCAGGCTCGT